ATCCAGGAGTAGATCACTGGACAGCTGTCGAAATTATCCTTAGAGGACTAAGGAAATGTTTTACGGTTATGGAGGTGATAAAGGATTCTTTGTAAAGGGTTACGACGATGCAAGCTTTAACACTAATCTAGAAGACTCTGAGTCTCAATCTAGATACATATTGAAAGTGGGAGAAATTAGCTAGAGCCACTCCGTGTAGAGCATTGTAGACATACAAAATAGCAAAATACATACAGATATGAATGTGACAGACCCGTTGACTTAACCTCTCTCACAAGCAAAACATGATCAAACCTTAGTACTCTTTGGGTGTTAATCACATGGCGATGTGAACTAGATTATTGACTCTAGTAAACTCTTTGGGTGTTAGTCACAAGGCGATGTGAACTGTGGGTATTAATCACATGACGATGTGAACTAGATTATTGACTCTAGTGCAAGTGGGAGACTGAAGGAAATATGCCCTAGAGGCAATAATAAAGTTGTCATTTTATATTTTCTTACTCATGATAAAGGTTTATTATTCATGCTAGAATTGTATTGATTGGAAACTTAAATACATGTGTGAATACATAAACAAATACCGCGTTCCTAGTATGACTCTACTAGACTAGCTCGTTGATCAAAGATGGTTAATGTTTCCTAACCATAGACATGTGTTTTCATTTGATAACGGGATCACATCATTAGGAGAATGATGTGATGGACAAGACCCACCCGTTAGCTTAGCATTATGATCGTTCAGTTTATTGCTATTGCTTTCTTCATGTCAAATACATATTCCTTTGACTATGAGATTATGCAACTCCCGGATACCGGAGGAATACCTTGTGTGCTATCAAACTTCACAACGTAACTGGGTGATCATATAGATGCTCTACATGTATCTCCGAAGGTGTTTGTTGAGTTGGCATAGATCGAGATTAGGATTTGCACTCCGAGTATCGGAGAGGTATCTCTGGGCCCTCTTAGTAATACACATCATAAGCTCGCAAGCAAACGACTAAGGAGTTAGTCACGAGGTGATGTATTATGAAACGAGTAAAGAGACTCGCCGGTAACGAGATTGAACTAGGTATGAAGATACCAACGATCGAATCTCGGGCAAGTAACATAGCGATGGACAAAGGGAATTACGTATGTTCTCATAACGGTTCGACCGATAAAGATCTTCATAGAATATGTAGGAGCCAATATGGGCATCCAGGTTCCGTTATTGGTTATTGACCGGAGAGGTGTCTCGGTCATGTCTACATAGTTCTCGAACCCGTAGGGTCCTCACGGTTAACGTTCGATGACGATATAGTATTATATGAGTTATATGATTTGGTGACCAAATGTTGATCGGAGTCCCGGATGAGATCACGTACATGACGAGGAGTCTTGAAATGGTCGAGAGGTAAATATTGGTATATAGGACGAGGGTATTCCGACACCGGAAGTGTTTCGGGGGTACCGGGTACTTATCGGGTCACCAGAAGTGGTTTCGGGCACCCCCGGCAAAAGAAATGGGCCTTATGGGCCAAGAGGGGAAATGCACCAGCCATAAGGGGCTGGTGCACCCCCCATATGGGCTGGCCTACGAGGAGAAGGAAAGAGGAGAAGGAAAGAGGAGAAGGGAAAGGAAAGAGTGGAATAGGATTCCCCCTTCCTTTCCTCTCTCTCTCCCCCCTCTTTCCTTCCCCCTCCGACAAATATGGCAGGGGGCGCTGCCAAGGGCAGGAGCCCAAGTAGGATTTGGACCTACTTGGGGCACCCCTTGGCCTCTCCCCTCTTCCTCCCACCTATATATATGAGGAGGGGGCTCCCAGCACACCCCAGACAATTGCCTAGCCGTGTGCGGCGCCCCCTCCACCTTTTACACCCCCGGTCTTATTTTAGTAGTGCTTAGGCGAATCCCTGCGGAGATCACTTCACCATCACCGTCACCACGCCGTTGTGCTGACGAAACTCATCTACTACCTCGACATCTTGCTGGATCAAGAAGGCGAGGGACGTCACCAAGCTGAATGTGTGTAGAACGCGAAGGTGCCGTGCGTTTGGTACTTGATCGGTTAAAGCGCAAAGAAGTTTGACTACATCAACCGAATTGTAAAACACTTCCGCTTATGGTCTACAAGTGTATGTAGACACACTCTCCCCCTTGTTGCTATGCATCTCCATGGATAGATCATTGCTTGTGCGTAGATTTTTTTTTGTTTTCCATGCAACGATTCCCAACACCCACAGATTCTTGAGGCTGGCTTCACCACTGCTGGAGTGGATGCGAGGGTGCGCCGGCAAGGGAATACATGTTCTTGGGCGGTGGCAGAGTGGATAAGGTCGAGCGATGAAAGCGGGGGAATTTTTACTCCAGCGGTGGGCGGACGAGTATATTTAAGAGTTAGTCGGGCTGTGGAGTAAAAAAACTGCTCCTCTAAAGGAGATAAGAGATCGTTTAGGTGCGCTTTAGAGCATCTACAGCCGTACTGAGCAAATTTGGCCCCTCAAACGCCCGCAGACGCATTCGGCCAGCGTCCCCACTTGTCTGCTTTCACTCCCTATTTTTCCGTTCACGCAGCCATGTCCCTCACTTTTTCTTTATATGACCGGTCATATGCATGTGATTAGTGGGGAAGGAGAGAGAAAGAAAATAAATAATAAAGAAATAAATAATATGCTCTATGAGGGGCCCTATTCTATGTGGCGGACGTAGCACCACTGGCCGGGCACACGCGGGCACTCCTCATACTCATCCCATATATGGGATGAATATGAGGAATGCTGGACATTCCGAGCATTTAAGGAGGCTTTGAGGGGTCCATTTGGGTCAACTTTTTGCTACTTTTTACTTCTCCCTCGTGTCCAGTCAGCGGTCCCCACGCCCGCCCGGTCAATTTGAGGAGTCCCGCTGTGGATGCTCTAAGAGGAGTAAAATCAAATTTTTACTCCACTAAAGCCTTATAGGGGATCGATTAGAGATGCTTTAATAACATACCTACGTGTGCATGTGAGCAACAAATTTAGGTACCTTTTTTTAGATTCAAAAATAAATAAATTGGATAGCTGGGTAACCATCCAAATTTTGCTGGCAAGGCCCATATTTGGTTCCAACAAACAAAGCTACCAAAGCGACCAAAATAGCCACAGGAAAGGTAAACGCCACCCCACCCTGCGCCCGTGTCGACCAATTCCTACACCATATGTCATCGCCGCCACTACTGCACCTTGCCACCCAAACCCATCGCTCGTGGCTGACATAGCGACCTCCGCGGCCACCATTGAGCTCGCAACTCCGCTCAGGCCCACCTGATTCCGGTCGCCCTACAGCTCCCCACCAAGGATCCTCCCCTCCTCCCCCAAGCCCCCTCCCATCGCCTCCCTCAACCACCACACCGTCGAATCCGCCACTGTCCACGAGCATCACATCGCCAGACCAGCCCTTGAGCTTCCAGTCGTGCCTGCCCCGAGCACCGGGCCGCCGGATTTCGCCACCGTTGATGAACATGTTGCAGTCGCGTCGTCAAAGTATTGCGGTGTGAGGCTCTAGCCATGGGGAAATGGGCAGTTGTGATCTCTAATCCAGGACGCGGGAGTGTGTGTTGGTTAGCACGTTCGCCACCCCGGAGGAGGCGGCAGGCGTCTAGGACGCCATGGTACTCCGCTTCTTCGGAGCCTGGCGAAGCTCAACTTCCCCGCTGACGTTGCATCTGCAGTCGCCATTGTGCCTCCTGTTAGGGTCATCTCCCGAGCTGAGGAGAGGGAGCACCACTTGGCTGAGGTGCGGCTTGTAGCCGAGCGGGCCAATGATACCTTCGTGTCCGCTCTCTTCATGAAGGAGTCGATGCTCCTAGCCGAGATCTGAGCATTCTTCGAGTCCATGGAGCACAAGCACAAGGTCGAGCGCAAGTGCCATGAGCTCACCCGCCTCAAGGGCGAGCGTGAGGAGATGTTCGAGGAGCTCATTGAGCTCCCGATGATTTTGATGTTTGTGTTTCCACACATGCAATTGAATTCTAATCCAAATCGCTTGCAAATATAGCACAATAATATAAATCTTGTTTCGACGCTACAAGTGGGACCCATGTCATGTCGATGCTACGTCAATCATATACTTTACATCTATGAATAAGATTAGCACCGTATTTATACGTTCATGCCAAGTTTTAGAACCAGTTCGGTGTATTTTTCAAATTCAGGGACTAAATTGAACGACCATGGCAACTTTAGGCACCACTGATGTATTAACCTTTTTCTTAAACCATAAATCAAGAAATTGAAATAGAGACATCATTATCTTCCAATCTAACACAACAAGGATCTAGTTATGAGTATCTTTGCCGTTTTCCCAACTTATCCAGACATTCCTTGTCGCTCGGCTCGTGGGCCTCGGCCTCGGCCTCGCCCTCGCCCTCGGCAGTGTGCCGGCGCATGTGCCCGCCGGCGCATGTGCCCGCCATGCGCCTTAGGGCATCTCCAGCCGGCCCCTTAGGATGCCCCCCACGAGCATTTTTTGGACGCCGGTGGCTAATTTTTCTCCCAGTCGGGATCCCAGGACCTCAAATAGCGCCGGATTTGTCTAAAATTACGGCCGGCACGCGCAAGCGCAACGCAGCAAACCGGGAGGCAACTGGGGGCGCCGGCGCGATACTTTTGCTGCCAAAGGGCCACTGCCAGCCTCTCCTTCTTTTCCTGGCTTGGCCCACCATGTGATGCATGCAAAAAAGACAAGCTCTGTTTTGCATGTCCGCCTCGCTCCTCTGCTCTCTCTCCTTTCTCCCCTGCTCCTCGCTCTGGCAAGCCGGACTCGTCTCCCGTCACCGGCCTCGCCCGCATCTCCCCGGAGCAGCCGCGGAGAAGAAGGTCTCGCCCGCCCGGACACCGCCGCCCGCCCTCCCGAGCTCGCATGGCCACGCCTCCGCGCCTCCCGCCCTCGTAGCGGCACGCGAGCTCGCATGGCCGTGCCTCCGCGCGTGCCTCCCGCCCTCCATGGGCCACTCACGCGCAAGGGCTCTCGGACTTCACTTCGTCGGCCCGCGCCTCGCGTCGCCGTCGGGGGCCAGGTCGCTGGTGCTGCTCCTCGCGGACGCGTCGGACTTCGACGGCTCCTTCCCGCGTGCCGTGGCGCGCCTGGTCGCCGTCACCAGCGAGGCCCACCACGCGGCGCAGACTTGCAGCTTGCCGTCGGCGCGGCGCCTCGGAGACACGGAAGCGGAGGACGGCGCGGGACGCACGAGACCGTCCTCGTCGCCCTGCCACAGGTGCACCGGGCACGGCGGCTCCGGCAGCGCCATGGGGTCGAACTTCCACTTGCCGAACATGACGGCCATGTCCCTGTAGTACGACTCCTGGATCCCCTGCTGCGTCGCCATCTCCCTCTTCTTCCGGAGGGTGCCTTCGGCGGTGAGGGTGCGGCGGATCTCCGCGTCGCGCTTGTTGGGGAGATAGGTGGTGTTGAAGACGACGGTGGAGGTGGGCAGGGGCAGCCAACTCTGCTCCATCCACCAGTGTATGATGCCGGCCGTACTCCCGCGCCGCCAACTCCGCCGGGAACCCGGGCCACCAGTAGTTCACCACCGCGCGGGCGAGCGGGCTGACGACGGCGAGCGGGCCGGACGACGGCTGACGGGCGCGAGGAGGAGCCGGCCAGGTCGCGGGCGCGAGGCTGCGGGCGGTGGCGAGCAGGCGGCTGCAGAGCCGGTCGGTGGCGAGCTTTGTGAAGCAGAGCAGCACGCTTGGGCGGTGGGGGGGCAACGAGTGGATATCATTCTAGCCTCAGGCTAAAATTTTCGCCGGTAGCCTCCCAAGGAGCGAAAAAAAATGCCTCCTGAGGGCTCAATGGCTGGAGATGCCCTTATGTACAACCTGCCCGGTAGCAGTGCCGAGCCCCGCCACGCTCCTACACTTGGTGCAGTTCTCCGAAGGCGTCAGGTTCAGCCGTTCAGGTCCAGGCAGATCCCGCCGGCGTCGCACGACGCCAACGCCGTCTTGGTCGCCTCGGCCTCGCAGCTCGGCGCTCTGGCTGCGGCCTCGCCCTCGACACGGTGCCGGCGCATGTGCCCACCCAGCGCCTGGCCGACGGCGAACTGGAGCCCGCAGACGGGGCACTCGTGCACCCTTGGCCTTGGCGGCTGCGGCGGCACCGGGGGCATCTGGCGGCCGAGGCAGAGCGCCGCGCCGTCGTCGGCATTGCCAACCGCGTGCAGCTGCGGGTGGTGCAGCTTGGGGCGCTTGTGGCTGGCACGGTGACCCCCCAGCGCCTGAAACGTGGGGAACTGCCGGTTGCACGTCTTGCACTCGAACACACGGCCGCCGCCCATGACCTGCGCCCCGGCGACGGCGCGCTGGTGCTGGTGCTGCTGATGCTGCGCAAGGAGCATGAGCAGGCGGGCCGTGTCCAGGCTGCCCGGCTCCATGTCCCACACATCCCTGCCCCTCTTGCTCACGGCTGATGTCTCTCGAGTTGAGACTTGAGACGCGATAGCTGGCAGGCTAGTCCCCGGATCAAAAAGTGGCGTTGTGCTAATCGACCCGCTGCACTGTGTAATGCGTATGTGGCTCTGGCCCGTATGGCTGATGGCTCTTATATAGTGTGGGTTGGGCCGGGGTTTGGGGCACGACTACTACTAGTGGCTCGCAAGTATTTGTTGTCTGGGTTCTAGACGTGGACCTGTGTGCATTTACTTTTCGATCGGGAAGTTTTGACCGCGCGGTGTGAGAGAGATTAGTTACTGGTAGTAGTACTAAGCATCTCCGATAGACGGTCTAAATGTAAAAATACCTAACTTTTGCATCGTCTGAGAAAAAAACGCTGCTCCAACGGACGATCCATATGCAAAAAAAATTAGACCGTGGCCTCCTCGATGTAAAATGCAACACCTTCCGATGCAAATATACATCACGAGATGCATCTGGTGCAAAACTAGCCGCCGCCCGCGAACGACAACCGCCACTTCATTTCCGTTCCCGCCTGCCCGCGCCCGTCCGCCTGCCCGCGACCCTCCCGGCCGCCGCCGCCATGGCCGATGCCGACGACCCCGCCGCCTTCTCCGGAGTTTTGGACCATCATTTTGAACCATCTGTTGGAGTTGAGTTTTTTTCGAAGCTCCAAAACGTATTTTTTAGCGGTCTAAATTTTACATCTCCGATTTTGAACCGTCAAATTTTGAACCATCTAATGGAGATGCTCTTACTAGTTACTACAGTAGTACTACCACCCGTACTGATGGGCTTTCAATCTTGTCATGTGAGTCTAGATAGCAGTATCCAGTCTAGTCAACATGTGTGTGTTCGAGCGAGCTGACTCTTCTAGAGCGGCCGGCAGCTGCTGGCCCCGGCTACAGAACCGTAAACAGCAGACACCTGTGGACCTACCCGATGGTGGCGTAGCGTGTGCGTGTTTTACTTCCGCGCGACGATCTCGACCCAGCACGCCTACACACGTACGGGCTCCGTTCGGTGTTTCACACTCCCGTTGGTGTACCTTGTCTTGTTGCTGCGGTCATCAAATTTATTGTCTCGGCTCGACGGGTCAAACCGATAGTTTGAGATGAGATCGACACGACTAGCTCGGTTCAAATCCTCTAGAATGAGCGGCGTGACGTCCATGTCCAAAATGGGGTCCGTAACCTCCCTCCATGGAATTTAGAAAGTCGTATTATATATACCACGTACTCCCTTTATAAAGAAATATAAATTTGTGTGGATCACTACTTTATGTTTTACTACTTCCTCCGTCCCATAATGTAAAACTTTTTTAACACTATATTAGCAGTCCAAGTTAGTGTTGATTAATCCCTTGACCGGAATTAACGGCTGCTAGCCAGCTGCGGACATCGGATAGGAGTGTGCTGAGCTGAACATGATCGTGCAGGCTGCTCGAGCCGTTAATTGTTATTTCCGGGATGCTAATTGATGCGTTTGACCGGCGATGTTCATGCTTTTGCTAGCCTTGGAATTCTTTGGATAATCAACACTTGGTCATATTTTTTTTCCTAGAGAACGAATGACAAGTTCTGCAATGACGAGCTTCTGGGAACAAGCAACTCTGTAGCAGCCAAAGTCAAATGTTATTGTGTGCTAGCCCGCGTTCTTAGCTTTGCCACTTGTCAGGAATTATATTCATACCCGCAAAAGAAAAAAAATTATATGCAAACAAACATAATTATAGACCTTGCCAAGATTAACCTAACCATAATCACCAACTAGTTGACTAACCTGGCCAATCAAGCCTTGTACAATGGTAGATGCCTATGCACATATGCTTGAAGAAAAGGAGTAGCTTTGCGCCTCATCTTGCAATGCAGAGGTGCCAGGCAAATGTCCTTTGTTTCTGAGATGGAGGCGTTGGGGTCTTTTTTCTGAATATTTTTTCTGTGGACGGAGGCTTGAAGGGAGCAGTTATTCCTTCCAAGCACACCGGCTGGCACCGAAGCAAACATTTGCTTCTATCTCCCTTCTTAAGCACCAGTGCAATCCCATGTGAGTAAAAAAACCGGGTTTTTCTTTATGTCTTCTGGCTAAGCACTTATCATTGTACAGGGCCTTAAGGAGAAAAGAGACTCGGAGAAAGAGAGGCGAAGCTTGGCCTGTGCTGCAAGGGATTGTTGACGTTGGACAACCGATGCCCTGCATATAGGTAGGGCTCATATGCCATCCGGTCTTGGCGGTAAAACTATTTGACCCATTAATCCCAAGTTCCCAACGAAAGTGACTTGATTGTACATCGTGCGAGAAATTGTAGCTCATTAGTGCGTCGCATGCAGTATGTACGCAACTACGCATGCATTTTGCTTGGCCCGCTTGGTCCCATCTTAATGCCCTTTTTCACATAAATACTCCCTCATTTTCGGTTTATAAGGCTTAATTCAAAAATCTCACCAATCAAGGTAGATGGTGAATGGTGCAATATTTTTTGTAGTTTGCAAAAGCACCTAATTAATTCTTTTGTTTTTCTCAAAAAATTATGTTTATCAATGCATTAATTGCATTGCATGCATGCATAAAGTACATGCATTGGTCAATTTTCTCTTCATACTTGCATGCAATGCTTTAATGCACCTTGGAATCTGAACATGTGATGGGGAACAACCAAATTGAGCCTTATAAAATGGAAAAACTAAAATTTTGAGATAAGCCCTATAAACCAAAAATGAGGGAGTATATTAGATACTTCAGTGATCAAGTATCGTATGTAAGTAATGATGTGAGCTCAACTAATGCACATGTTTAAAGTGTTTCTGGACCAGAATTAAACAAATGAAACAAGTTTTATGTGCATACATGATTCAAAGCCTTCCACCCACCAAAAGTTTGGACGACAACGAACATTCTCAAATGTAAGAGCATCTACAACCGGACCTCTCAAACCGCCTCGTACGCCCAGGCGGACCGCCCGATCACTGTCCGGACACGATTTTTTGATCCAGACGAGCCTCTCAAACGGCCTCAAACGCCCGGGCTAACCGACGCCCCCCATATCCAGCTCAAATATGGGCAGATGGGGGGGCGCCCAGGCACGCCCAGGCACGTCCGCCTGACGGCGTGGCCCCACGGAAATGCCCGGAAACCATTGTGAGCTTGAAATAGTCATCGTGTGCCTCCACTTTCTCCACAATGTGCAAAAACAATGGTTTCCGCATGCGAAAATGGCAACAAAACCATGGATCGTCCGGAAAAATAGGCTTGAGAGCAAAGTAGTCTCTGCACAGTAGCTTTGCTTCGGACAGCCTATCCCGATTGATCAATCTTATGCCTTTAATTGAGCCCTTAAAGCTGAGAATATGCTCCACTTGCCGGTCAATTTTCTTTTGCATGCTCATGAGCATGATCATGTCCACTTCTTCGTTCGAATCCAAGGAATCGAAGAACTCATCTTGAATCATTTGATCAAGCTCCATTGGTCTATACTCCTCGTCTGACGAAGCATCGGAATCCATCATTTTTCCTAATAAAATCACTAAAATCCGGCCAGGCAATGTGTCGAACACATGAAGCGCAAGGCGGAGCCAGAGAGTTGTCGGACGTACCGCGGTGGCGTCCAGGATGGCGACGACGTCCCCCGCGGTGATGACGGGAGAGAGGACTGCTCTGTCGGAGCTAGTGGCGCAGAGGCTAGGAACGACCGCGGAGCGCGCGCGGCGGCGGAGTACGAGACAGACGACACAAAGGAGGAAGAAGAGAGGAGATAGCAAATGGATTCGGCATGTCTAGAAGGTGGATTTGATGCAATTTGCGGTGGGCTGTCGGGTCTAACGTGTCGGGCGTGCCCGGGCACGTCCGAGCACCCCTTTATCCAGCCCATATTTGGGTTGAATATGAGGGGTCGGTGGCGGAGCTTAGTGGAACCCTGCAGGTTTGAGTAAATT